GGCCCAGCGGGCCTTGTCTCTGTGTGGGTCCAGAGGCCTTGTGGCACAAAGTTGCCTTGTCCTGTATGTAAAAAATGGCCAGTGGTCTGTGGCCCTTAGTGGCGCGGTTCAATGTGGCCTAGTGGCCGTTGTCTGTGTGGCTTGCTCTGTGTGGTCCATAGTGGCCTTGTGGCACAAGTTGCCTTGTCCTGTATGTAAAAAATGGCCAGTGGTCTGTGGCCTTTAGTGGCGCGGTTCAATGTGGCCAAGCGGCCGTTGTCTGTGTGGCCAAGCGGCCTTGAGGCATTGTTGCCTCGCTAAAAAATGGCCATGTGGTCTTGTGGTCCTTGCGGCCTGGTTTTGTGTGGCCTTGCGGCCTTGTCCAGTCTACCTCGTTCTATGTGCGGCATTAGAGGCCGTCGTGGCTCATTGCGGCCTTGTCTCTGTGGTCTAGCAAGGCCATGTGGCCGGGCGGCCTTGTGTCTGTGGTCTATCATGGCCGTGTGGTCCAATGTGGCCAGTTTGCGGTCTAAGGAGGCCTGCTCTGTGTACGGCCCTAGGCGGCCTGCTCTGTGTGGTCCAATGAGGCCTGGCCCAATGTGGCATTGTCTGTGTGGTCCATCGCGGCCTTGTCTCTGTGTGGTCCAATGAGGCCTGGCCAATGTGGCTCTGTTTTGTGTGGTCCATCGAGGCCTTGTCTCTGTGTGGTCCAATGAGGCCTGGCCAATGTGGCTCTGTTTTGTGTGGTCCATCGAGGCCTTGTCTCTGTGCGGTCTGTTACGGCTTGTCCCATATGGCCGGTTCTGTATGCCCAAGGTGGCCTTTTCTCTGTGGTCCTATAACAGCTTTGTTCCATGACCTGTCCCTATGTCCTAAGTTAGCTCGTTCTCAGCTAAGTCACTATTCCACAACACTTGCTTCCCTCCAACTCATTCTCAGGGAAACTGGTTCGATCAGACGTAAGTGCGTCTCAAAACATAAGTCACCTGGATGAAAGCGTCAGCATGGATAAATGCTAATGTACATTTCAGCAGCAGAACATTAATGCATAAATGCTTTATTCACGTCTTCGCATAGTACCTTCAGGCTCACTATGAAGTCGTCTCTCACTAATTAGTTATTGGCTACGAGGCTTTCCACATTTCATGTTCATGCCATTATTAACTCCCTTTTCTTTCTATTTTAGGCTCTACAGGATACACGTCTGGTGGGTATACTTTTCTTTACCGTTCTTTGGGGGTGGGCTCCGTCCTGGTGGAATTATCTTCCACCTATTTTTGGGGGTCGGCTGCGCCCCTGCCTTCGTCTTCAGGCAGGAAATGCAGAGTCCGGACCCTCGGATTGCGAGCTATGGACGGGGCCTACGCCAAAGAACTTTATTGCTTGCTGGGCTATCAATAAATGTATTTATTGTTACAGTATTTATTCTACCGAGTCTTTCTGGTAGAAATGGAAGCTTTAGCGTTAAGTTCTGCCGGGAAGACTCAATTGCTACGTCACTTATTACCTTCTCATCTATCCAATCGTGTCTAATACTTGCGGTATAAAAGACCAGTACTTACACATGTCTGAGTTCGCAGATGCTGACGCTTTCATTCACCTCCATCCTCCCCACCACCAGGATGGTCCCTTCCCCTCCATCCTCCCCACCACCACCAGGATGGTCCCTTCCTATACCTCACGGGGGGTCGGCTGCGCCCCTGCCTTCGTCTTCAGGCAGGAAATGCAGAGTCCGGACCCTCGGATTGCGAGCTATGGACGGGGCCTACGCCAAAGAACTTTATTGCTTGCTGGGCTATCAATAAATGTATTTATTGTTACAGTATTTATTCTACCGAGTCTTTCTGGTAGAACTGTTGAAGTGTTGTGTAATGACGTAATGATCGGAAGTGCTGAGTAAACAAGATGGATAAAGTTCGCTACTCCTGTATCGTGTGCTTCATTGTTTTTTTTAACTCCTGACAGATAACCACACATATAAATAGATGGACAGGATAATGACGCACATAGTTCTTATTAAATCGTTGTCTATTTCACCCTGTCACCAATAGGCCTACAAATTATATAGCCTAGAATTAAAGAATGCAGTTAAGACAGGTTGATGTATTCAACTTAATAATACACAATAAAACAATATACAAAAATATTCGTTAAAAGAACTGGGAGCTTGTTCTGTTCTTGTGTTGGTAGATTAGATTTTATAAAATGAGGGACGGGCCACCCACAAAACTGTGGGAAAGGATTGCGAAAGCGTGGGTACGGATTGAAAAACCGAAGGTACGGTGTACAAATCTGAGAGCACGGATTGGAAATTCGTGGGTACCGTTTATTTATCCGTGGGTGTGATCTGTTAAGCCGAGAGAACAATTAAAGAATCTGTGAGTATGGTTTATAAACTGAGGGAACAAATTGCAAAACTGTGGCAACGGATTTGCAGGTTTTGTTTTAGTATTTCCTACAGGTGACTTCCCAGGCTCCGTACTATGATCGCTTTCCTAATTAAAGATTTTTTACTGCCCTTTCGGTAGGCCTTCTGCTCTAAAACAGAAACTAATTCCTTCTTTTCAAGCACTTATGATCGCACAATGCCCTCTTCTGTTCAGAGGGAGAACAACATTGGGTTACGTTATTTTTATGCTCCCCTTTAGACATTCTGTTGATGTTATGTTGCACCTACATGTCAACTAACTCTCATTAGAGTATTGGGTACATAAAAGTTGAGTATTAGTAGACTGTTAGGGGTAGGCTTAGGGTTAGTAGAATAAGTTGTTGAAAAGTTGCAAAGAAGGCAAGAGGGAGAATCAAAATAAAGTGTTAGCAGATTGAGCCGACAGTCTACTAATAGGCCTACTTTAATGCAAGTTAATTGACATGTAGGTGAAAAGTTACTTAAAGTCAACTGAATGTCTGGGGACCATCAAAATAAAGTGTTACCCAACATTTAATACTTTGTTAAAATGTTTCATTAAAAATTAAGCAAGCATTTACTCTACCAGTCAAGAGTTTGGACACACTTGTCTGAATTTATGTTTCTCATGATCTTAATGATATGATTGCATCAATCTTTTGGCTTATGCAGAAATGCTTGAATTTAGTTTAGTAGAATATTGTACATCTATACTAATGAACTTCTTTACAAACCTAAAAGAATAAAGTGAAATTGGAACAGATATTTTTAGGGACATAATAATAACACCAACAATAATAAAGAACAGGACTGTGTCCAAACTGAGTGACAGCGAGACCTAAAGTCTACATTACATAAACTACCAATGACAATGAGAAGACGCTGACAAAGATAATTTATTTCCAGTGTTTTTGTTTTCTTTGCAGTTGGGAGTCACACATATGAATATTCAGAGGTAAGATGAAATCTGGAAACATAAGTATGAGGTCATGCATACTCTTCCGAGGAATCACATGCTGGCTACACTGGTCAGCTCGGACAAAATATGTGACTTTTTAACAAAGGTAACATACACAAAGAAATATACACATTTAAGTTATTGCCTCAATAAAAGACCAGGGTAAAGACATATCCAGTGGCAAAGCACGAAATGACTTAAGACTATGACTGATGAAGCAGTGGAAGCGCAGGGTCTGCTTTTGCATCGTTTTGTATAAAAATTTATTTTTCTTCTTCTTTTTTTTTTTTCTGATAAAATTCAGTCATTCATTCATAATACACATTCCATATTAACAAACAACAAAATTAAGAAATGGCACCTTTCCTGTCACCAGAACCAGTTGAGAGGCACTTTTTTTGTAAAAAAAAAAAAAAAATCCTTGTAATTTCACCACTTATTTGCTGTCAGTTTGTAGTTTGCATTTCAAATGGTTTAACATGACACCACCCAGTAAGCCTGGTACTGCTACAGATGTTCAGTCTCTGGCGCTTTCGGTTTAGCACTTACTTTAATCCTGTAGAAATATAAAAATATTTCATTCTTCTTCCACATTTATGTCTGGCTGTTATGATGCACTGTAAAAGGGGTTTCCACAGCACACAGCTCAGAAAACAGCCCATATCAGGGCTAACCTTCAGAATAAAAAACAAAAACCAAAATACTTCAAGTACAGACATTATTTACATTTTTTCACTAATGAAAACTGCAACAAGCAATTTACGTGTTAGTCAATATAACGGCAAGCATATTACATTCTTCATACGAGTAACATCAGGAGTTTTCTTTTTTGTCCTAATCTTGGACAAGATGCCTTTTCTTTTCCTTTGATATCAGTATCCTTCAGTAACAGTTTCGCAAATGCATGTCTGTCCAAAAATTGTGCTGTCGCAGCAGCAGAGGCTGTTGGTAAACATTGGTATTGTACAGCCTCTGAATATCAGGCCACTTCACCGTCATGCATATATTACTAGCTTTCAAGAAAAGATCTCCAGTACTGATCCAAAAAAATGAGTCAGATAACTCAAAATTGTTAAAATTACTCCAGTTACTTTTTTATAAGCCTATACATATAGATATATACAATTTATATTTATAATATATATTCATATTTATAGATACTTTGTTTAAAAAAAGGACAGGGGGATGGAAAATAAAGGTGGAGTAACTTTAGCTCTAAGTACATTCATTCATTTTTAAGGCCTGATCACACCTATGTGCATGTTTGGCATGAAAATTGATCTGTTTTGCCTTTTTATACCAATACATAAAAATGGCAGGTTAAATGAAAATGTAATCTGACAGTAGGGGGGCGCTTATAGAAAAGCAGAAATACCCCGGTGACCCAGGTACATAAAACGCTGCGCAACTATCAGAATCTGACACCCGCTTGTCACGAGGAAAGAAATTCAAACAGTATTTACATGATTTTAAACAGCCATTTAGATATTTGTATTTGCTATGATGCTTATCAAACAGAGACAAGAAACCTGGTTTTGGATTCTTCCTCTGCTATTCACAGCCGTTTAGCAAAATAGTCTCTTTGTAAGCACCACCAAGCCGTAGTTTTATCTAAAAGCAGCGGCTCTAGAAATGTGACCAAAAGCGCAAATCTTTCTTTGAAGTGCAGTAGAAAAGAGATTAGAACCCCGTGTAAGAATTCTGTCACACTGACAGCATGCAAATGTTCACATCGGTCTGAACAGATGCAATAACAGTTTGTGTCAGTCTGAACAGATGCTGTTTATTCAGATGAAAATGTTTATCGCACCCAATTTTCACACCAAACATTCATCTTGGTTTGAACAGGCCTTTACACACACATTATGACACACTTACACACATGCAGATGATTCTTTTCTTTTAAAGATATTGGTAGAATCGTGAGCGCACCACTTGGGCTCCTGACAATTTCTGTGGATGAGCATCAGCTCCAGAACTCAGGCTGTTTTTGGATTTGCCCTTTGACGTGCCTCCGTTTACTTGTTCAGAGCTGGATTGGGGACATGGAGAGGCAGAAGGAGCCAGTTGCTCAGCACTTTGCACACCTGCATGGGTATCTCCCGCTTCTGCTGTACTTATCCCAACTTGACCTTCCAGCTCTCGACTGGTTCGACGATGCTCACAAGCAATCCAGTCCCGGATAGACAAGTCCTGAGAGTCGCACTTGGGTTTAAGGCGCTCCACAGTGGACAGTTCGGCACCTTGGTCCACCCCACCCTGTTCCCTCCAGTCATGAATGACATCTAGTTCAGCAAAATCCCGCTGGCCACCCAAAGTATGGCGTCGCCGGATGCTCTTCTTCTTACTACGCGTCTCTGTAGAGCGAGCTTTCTGCGTGCCAACACCGAACATATCATCAGCGGAGGCACGTAGACGGAACTTGAGTCTCTCTGTGATTTTAAGATGCCATGCTGGCTCAACTCTGTCCGATTCAGTTCGCAATGGGGCACTCAGGCTGCTGGTGGAACGGCCTCTCTTCATCACTTCCAGAACTCGAGACAGTCTATTTGATTCATTCTTGCTGACCCCGCCACCAGCTCCTGCCTCCACAGATGAATCGCTGTCCGTCTTTTGTCGCAGGGATCGCCTCCTAGACAGAGAGTCACATTCTATCAGTTTATGGGAGGGCAGCAAGCGGCAAGCTAGTTTGGGTGTGTTGTTTCCACTATCTTCCGTGGTTGGTATGTCTAGTCTGGCGATGCCAGGGGTAAACATTGGGAAGTCACTCTCGCTGTCCGTTTCCATTGGTCGTCCCTCACTGATGAGCTCACTGCGCTCGTCATCTGCCTCGTCTCCTCCCCGGCTTTCAGTCACGGACTGCACCTCTGGGCTCAATGTGATGGATTCTATTCCCGTCAGGAAGGTGGTTGAGGAAGTGGTTGAGTAGTCTGAGGTAATAGAGCTCACCTCTGCAGTCACTGAAGCCCCCCCATAAGCTAGTAATAGCTCAGGGGCCGGGGGTGTTGTTGTGCCCCATTTCCGAGGTCTGGTTCTGGGACCGGAGGGTCCAGAGCTCATAGTGCCCAAGTCTGAGGTGGTCTCATCTAACTGTGAAGAACGATCCGAGACGGATGATTTGGGAGGACCAGAGGTGCGGCGGATGACACCGGGTGAACATGAGAGCTGGGGCAAGAGGGAGAGAGTTGAAGAGGGTTTGTCTTTCATAAAGAAAGAGTTCCTCTGCTCCTTCTTGTTCTTTGGGGTGGACTCTGCATTTATGCTGTTGTCTCCTACAAGTGATTTTCCGCATGGGCTGGACCTGCCTCCATCCTCCTCCTGGCTTTGGTGATTCTGCTTTTGAGTTGGGTTATCCTTCTTGGTGAAGACAATATCAAGGTCGTCGTCAGAGCTGCTGGGTTGCAGCTTCTCCTTGTGCTTCTTTCGTTTGCGGTTGGCCGCAGCAAAGATGGAGGAGACTCGTGGCTGAAGGAACTCGCGGCTGCAGTGGTCCTTCCCTGATCCCCAGGAGCCCTGGACACAAAGAGAAAGAAAGAGTGACAGATTCAGTCACAAGGAAAACAAAACAACCTTGTAATCCAATGGGCCATAAAGCACTGAGGCCTAGCGAGAAAACATGGAATAAAAAGCCCAACCGCTGCCCTTGCAGGTGGCTAAACCCAGAGTACTCCACCTGCTTCTCTGATAGCAGCACAAATCAGAGGTTGAAGGACTGAACATAGAAAGAAACATTAGAGACAGTTACAGAAGTCCAAATGAGGCTTCTTTTTCAGAACAGCCACATAGCATAAGAGGCACCCGCAACACCGACAGCAATGACACATGGAAAAAGCTGCATGGGTTGCATTTGAAAATAAAGCTGGAGCCAGATGACGGGAATGGGAATGGGAATGGGAATCCATTTAACGGTTCTTCTAGTACTTTTGAGGAAGAACCAAATACATGATTCTAACTAAACTGTACGATATACTGTATTTTGTTTTATATTATATTAGTTTTTTGTTCAGTATTGTAAAAATACTAAACAAAAACGAATAATTTTGCAACAGATTTTCTAGCTTTTTAAATGTAGTTTATTACAACAAGTAATGTCCAATGTTTATCTTTAGAAAATTAGAAAATACATACAAAATATTGTCATATGGACAACTTAAAGGAGTAGTTCACTTTAAAAAAAACTTTTGCTGATAATTTACTCACCCCCATGTCATCCAAGATGTCCATGTCTTTCTTTCTTCAGTCGAAAAGAAATTAAGGTTTTTGATGAAAACATTCCAGGATTTTTCTCCATATAATGCACTTTACTGGGCACCAAACGGTTCAAGGTCCAAAAGACAGTTTCAGTGCAAACTGTTCAAAGGGCTTTAAACGATTCCAGACGATGAATAAGGGTCTTATCAAGCGAAACGATCGCTCATTTAAAAAATAAATAACAAAGTTTAAGTTTTATAAGCTCAAATGCCCGCCTTGCTCTGTTCTGTGTGACTCTCCTGTTCGAACTCGTTCATCAAAATGAACGAATCTTTTTCCGAGTCAATTCGTTCATTTCGTTCGTTAAATGAATCAAATGACTCGTAAAAAGATTCGTTCATTTTGATGAACGAGTTCGAACAGGAGAGTCACACAGAACAGAGCAAGGCGGGCATTTGAGCTTATAAAACTTAAACTTTGTTATTTATTTTTTAAATGAGCGATCGTTTCGCTTGATAAGACCCTTATTCATCGTCTGGAATCGTTTAAAGCCCTTTGAACAATTTGCAGTTTGCACTGAAACTGTCTTTTGGACCTTGAACCGTTTGGTGCCCAGTAAAGTGCATTATATGGAGAAAAATCCTGGAATGTTTTCATCAAAAACCTTCATTTCTTTTCGACTGAAGAAAGAAAGACATGGACATCTTGGATGACATGGGGGTGAGTAAATTATCAGCAAAAGTTTTTTTTAAAGTGAACTACTCCTTTAACATAGCAATAATACTTGTTTGACAAAGTGATGACTTCATTCAGTGAATGCCAGTCTTATTAATCCAGTTATTAATTCAGTAAATGACAGTGAATATGCTGTTTTAGATTAGTTTGAGAGACTGATTCATTAAATAGAATAGTATGTGTCAGACATTCAATAACTGTTAACTTAGCTGAACGTCATGAAGATAATTCAGTTGTCACTTCGGTTAATACTTTTCTAAAAAATGGTTCTCGATTCCCACCCCTAGGCAGAAATGCTTAATGCACGTTCTAGCAACAATTCATTTCCCCGTTACACTGAATGCAGTGCATGTTCAAAGCATGACATGATGGCCTCTGATCCATCTGTCCAACTGGCTCTCGGGTGCTACAGTGGGAGTCGTGGAGCGTGTCAGCCTGGTGCAAGAACTACACTCACCCATTACACCTGATTTATCAGAAAAGTGGCCACAGTCCAAGAATCAAACTCACCTTAGATTTAGCAGAGTCACTGGTTGGTGAATCTGTGGAGTAAAAATAAATATAACACATGGTTAGTGGCATGTGCATGTCCTCATACTGATCTCAAACAAACTGATATACAGAGATGAGTAGAGAAACATATGCATTAAGAAAGGTTGTGCATGACGAGGAGAGCGCGGCAAACAAGGAAAGAGAGGTATGGTGAGCAGGCGTGCATGCAGACAAACAAGTGAGCGATGTTTTGTTGGAACGCTCAGATATATATTCACCAGTAGGGAGCAATCTTTCACGAGTAGGACCATCCAGCAAACACAAACAATATAGTAACATGAATCTGGCACGAAAGGAATTTTTTTGGTTGCAAAAGAGATCAGCTGAACATGATGAACCTCTTTATGAAGGATGCATGGAGAGTGACACAACACCACCAAGAGTACAGATGAAATGATAACGGTCTTGCAGAAAGTGTCAGTGACGGATATCATTGAGTGATATTTATTATATGATCTATATGAACATCTGATTCTGACATACTGAGATCCTTAAAAGGAGTTATACAGAACCTTGATTATCTTAATGATAAGAAGAAACCAGACAAATTGTTAATTAGAACACAACTATAATTCAAAGTAATCAATGCAAGTTAAACTCATCTGTGACATTCTGTGTCAATTATCACAGAAAATAACTTTGACTCGTCTCTAAGTAAAAACGCATTACCAGTAACCCTGTAAACATTCAAATATACACGTATATGTATACTTAATATAGACCTAAATTAAACTTCTTCTGGCTATATACATAATATATGGACATACATTTTGAACCTACTGTACATCTTCATCATGCTAACATGTATAATGACGCATAACCAGAAGTTTTTTCTGTATATAACAGTAATCTAACTGATAAAAGCCCGTTTAGACAGTTTTACAACTTGAATAACACATAATAGCTTCAGCAAAAATACAAGTTTCATATACCTTTAAACCATTCCCCCTTAGACTTCCATTCTAAGTGCATTACAGTACAATTTTACAGACAAGTCAAACTTATTTTCTGCACGTCTCAGATGCTGTCCACACAGCTTAACTTGCTTTGAGCCGGGAATATTTCTTTAAGTGGAAAATGTTGCATTTCACCAATTAAATCTACAACCCTTTACACTCAAGAACTACGTGCATGATGCAGAAATGATTAAAAATGCTCATCTACATTAATTGAGGCGTTAGACAAGGGGGGTTGGATGTTTAAATGCTGGTTCTGGTCTAATGTGTGCTGTCGTGACCACAAATGAAGACGAGACACTCACGGCATGAACCAAGGTAAGAAGTGACAGGGGTCAGAGAGGGGCTAGCTATGCAGAAAAGATGACACTATGGGAAGACAGAATGCCAGCAAGGAAAAGTTAAAAAATTGATTCGCTGATGTCTTTGCTCCCATTTCATTTTCCATGGCGAAGACTAGAATTTTTTGGAGGCTTATTTCTTCTGTGTCCAGCCGAGCCCCCCCTGAACACCCCTTGGTGGTGACAAATGGTATGACCGAGTGATATTCAGAGCCGAGTAGCATTACCATGCTGTCTCTCCGTTTGGCCAGCGTTCAGAGAGAGAGAGAGAGAGAGAGAGATAGAGAGGGGCGAGAGACGGCGAAGAGCCTTTGAGACAGCAGCACTGCTCTACGCCAGGTAAACTCACAAACCACTCACGCCCCACAGAACCCAACACTTCTGATGCGCTTCCCCTTTGCACTTTTTTGCTCTCTTTTCTCAGTCGCCCACTTCATAAAATGCGAGGGTGTCGGCAGACTAGGCAGCTACACTGCGGGCAACAGTCCTCCCTCTTCCTACAGTTCCAGCTTCCCATCACGGACCCTACTGAGTCCATCAGTGACATCACGGTGTGATAGACTCCGCCCACTTGGCCTGTGTCAAGATCAGTATGTGTGAATGCTGGGAAAGCCTTTAGGACACGCGACAGAGGGGCACTAGGGACAGAGGGATCAGAGATTGACAAGCGTGCTCTGCGGTTTGGCCTTAGCTGTTAGTTTGTTCTCTCTTGGAGAAAGAACATGACGTGTTAGTGCAGAAGTCGGCAGAATTACAGAGACGACCCAGTGGAATTTGGACACGTAGAAAAAGAGACGTACACACTAAATGGTTGAATCTCACGGAAACGATCGTATTTCTCCCCAAAATTAAAAAAGAAAAATAATTGTATTTTGCATATAGTAGCCTATTACATTTTACCCTTTCTGGTAACACTTTACTTGAAGGGGTGTGCATAAGACTAACATGACACCTTCATAATCATGACATGACACATGTTATGAATATGAAGGAAGTTGTATGCATGTTTATGACAACTGTCATTAAGTGTCATTTGCTCAGTTATGACATTTTTAATGCAAATATGACATTGTTTGAGATGTCTTTGTTATGACACCTTGACATAAACCAATACATCATAACCTGTCAGTGTCTTTGTCATGACAACTTGACATTACTAAGACAACACAACCTGTCATAAACATGACATAGCAGATTAATTATCAAACTTAAGAAACCACTTAGCTTTATTGGTTAACATTACATTAAACTTTCAGGTGGTTGGTTTTGACATTGGCTGTCATGAAGCCATTATAACTTTTTAATGACAAATTCAATTTGTACCACTGTAGTTGAGGTCACGAAAAATATTCATGACACAGTTATAATGCCCTCATGACAGCCAGTGTCAAAACCAACCACATGACAGTTTAATTTAATTTAATGTCAAGTTGTCATGACAAATACACTGACAGGTTATGATGTATTGGTTTATGTCAAGATGTCATAACAAAGACATCTTAAACAATGTCATATTTGCATTCAAAATGTCATTATTGAGCGAAAGACACTTAATGACAGTTGTCATAAACATGCATAAACCCTACTTCATATTCATGACATATGTCATGTCATGGTTATGAAGGTGTCATGTCAGTCTTATGCACACCCCTTCAAGTAAAGTGTTACCCATTTTGTTAACATTTTCTTCCAAAATTCTCATTACAGTAATGCTTCTGAATATTCTTAATTGTCATGGATGCAAAACAATCTTAAATGTTAAAAATAGCCTTAATTGTCCTTGTGCAAAATATATATATATATTTTTTTCCACTTATTTTTAAGTGAAACATGACAGTTTTTGACATGTTTTGTGAGATTCACAAAACAGAAATGGGAATAAGTCAGAAAGTTTCCAAAATTGACAAATTAAATTAGGTAAAGGATGGAGAGTAAACAAATCATAACCAAATAATTCAAGATCGCACCAAGCAAGCTAATGTAGGCAAAACATTTATAACATGTTGCCTAACAAACTCGCACAGGCATTGTAATTAAGCCATAGCACAGCTTTTGTTAAAAACATAGAGAAGCTGCTTCTGTTCTCAGAAAAGCAAAGCAGTTTTCATCAAGAAAGTTTAAACATATTATTGTAGCCGTTTTGTTTTAGTTTAAGACATAGTTATACTTTGCAGCAGGGTGTAAAAGGTGAACCCGTGGCAGAGAGGGTCCAACCAAGGGCACATGTTACCTGACACTTCCCCGGGAGAGGTGCCTGTCCGGCCGATGTTGGTCAGCAGGTGGTCGATGTTAGGCACAGGCTGAGACTCCACAGCACTCTCCTCCTGGACTGTAGTCTGAGCAGACACACAGAAAGAACAATTCACTGAAGAGTTGCAATGGCTTAGACAAAGGAATGAAAGCACAAGTAGAAACTAGTTTTTACATTTTCGGAAGAAAATGTGAGTGGTTCGTTCCCCCACGATCTAGGGTGTTTTGGGTGATTTTTAGTGTAGGAGTTCTGGGTGGATGCTAGGTGCTACTTGCTCAAAAGAGCACATCCAGAGATACACTCCAAAGTTTAAAGGCCCACTGAAGTGCCTTGGACGCGCCTTTGTATGATGCGTTGACATCATTTCCAGGCTCCTCCCCCTTTTCAAATAGCCAATAGCGTTTAGTTTACCTAACAGAGTGCAAGTCGTACTTGAGAGCACCATGGAAGCGAATCCGAGCGCTGATGATACGTTGGATTCAATAGTAGAGGTGTGAATAAATTCTAGCCATTTCATTCTTAACCAATTGGAAAACGGAATAAAACTCGAGCGTTTGAGAAACCGAACACACATCTCCAACCCATATTGCTCCGTGATGTGTCAAAGGTGGCTTTGGCCAGGTAGTATTTATAGCATAGGGGGCGGGACGCTTTAGATTCTAGAGAGCATTTGATTGGAGAGATGATGTGATGAGAAGCTGAAGTTCGCAGTAATGATAAAAATCCGTGATAAATTTTAGTGGAAGTGAGGGACTGTAAAGCCCAATTTATACTTCTGAGTCGAACTCCCGCCGTAACTACGTCGTAGGCTGTGTGTAAAACGCGCACCCTTCGGCGTACCCTGACGTGCACCTCTCCAAAAATGTAACGACGCGTCAATTCTAGGCAGACCTCAAGCGCTGTGATTCGTCTACTAGAACCCCTTTCTCGGGATTCACATGCTCCCTCTGCATGTGTAATTGCGCGTCAACGCGGACCACGACGCAGAAGTATAAATGAAAACCATATACTTATAGGCATAGCCTACAGTGTAGAGGCTCCGGTGTAGGTCCGACGCAGAAGTATAAATAAGCCTTTAGTTTTGAATGCTTATATCTCCTAAATGCACATTTTTTCATTGTTTTGGAAAATCACAAGCTTATTCATAACCTTAAGGCTAACATATTCATACTAAAAGCTAAAGAACTTAAATTTAGATTTCAGGGGGCCTTTAAGAGTTACTTAGGTTTAGGGGTTTGCTCAAATCCATTTTCCACTGCGAGGGCTAACAGTGTGTTGGGTGAGGCCAATAGCCTCGGACCTTGAGCCGCAAGGCCAAAACCAAGCTGTGTTTCCACTGTTGGACCAGTAGCCTCACAGCGCTACCCTAAAACCCGGCCTTAACACAACACAACGTCACACAACCCCACTGTTTCACCAGCAGGGGAAACCTAGCGGACTGAAAACTAACTAGTGCACATCAAACATGCTGAATCAAACTGTATGTATCATCATACAAGATGCGTTCTGAGGATGTTTGAGCGATCTCTCCCATCACACTACACTGTTATCCCTTCAGTCAGAGCAGCAGAGGGAGCTCACGAGCAGAAAACAGGAGTTATGTAATTTATGACATACACAGATGCAAAATCCCGTATCAACAAAAGCACAGGAAAGAGACAGATGAAACATGAAACCAAATAAATACACTATAATAATCATAAGCTTTGTCCAAGTTCTTCAAGCAGTCTCAGGTATTTCTATAATCAAATGTGTATTTATATTATGGCAAAGGATAAGTAGCTTTTAGCACCGCAAATATAATTTTGCCTCATTCTGTGATCAGAATCCCCATCGGATTATAATCAGAAGGTATTTCACATACTTGCTGGTGTCTGAAAGTGAGTTTTGATCTGAAAGTTGTTTTAAATGTCTTTAATGTCAAGGTTAGCTGCTATCCTGATATGAAAACATTCGAAACGAGCATCGGTGTCTCTTAAACTCCGCCTCTGTTCATGACCACTCCTCAAGCCCCTATTGGCTCACTTTGGTATTCGGTGGGCCAAAAATCCCAGACTGTTGGCCCCAATGAAGCACCGGCGAGGCCCGATCAAGCCCCGGAAGTGAAAGTGGAAATGCGACTTGCCCAGGCACGCACTAGCATATTCTCTTTTGGCCCGACAGTGGAAACACAGCTCATGATGCCTACCTTAGCAAAAAAAACTAATAAAAGAAATAGTGGAATAAAGAAAGCATCTGTACTAATACACACCGTAGGCTCCTTATCACCCTCCTCGGTGAAGAACCAGTCGTACTGCAAGAGAAAACACCAGACTTCATTCAGAAATGTTTCACCAAAGGTCAAAAACATGACATTTAAAAGTTACTTTCTTTTCACATAAGAAGAATGAAGAACTCACATGCTGAATGAGCGTTTCTACAATCTTGTATTGGTCTGGCATGTGTGTCACCATGTGAGTCATATTGTCTTCAGATGTTCTCACTAGTGTTGGGCCGAACACAATGGCCAGATTACGTGGCTCCATCTGACACAATGATAAATGAGCAAAATGAGACATTTCTCCCTTTTCATACTGTATATGAAAAACAAAGAGAGTGTTCACGTGCATTCTTGTTCCGTATGTGTCCTTATTGTGTATGATGTGCAGTAACTCTAAAAATGACTTTCCTTTTTGGTTGACGTCACCAAGCCCTTTTAATTTTCAGCTATACTCTCCGATAAATTTTTGGTCCATAAAAAATCAACTTTTGAATATCTTTTTTTTGCATGCATAAAACTTCTTTTCACGCTTACCTTTAAAAAAAGAGCTTGAAAGCAAATATCTCCATCACTGAAAATCTGGCGGAAAGCTTGCAATGTCTCGAGAGCCCTGTATTATGTGTTCTTTTCCATTCTGTTTTTGAACGGTAGCGGACATTCTGTGTACATCCCAAAATTGTTTTACCTTGTTTTTTTCGGAATTATCAGCCACAGTTTTGAGATGTGCCGAGAGGAACTTCAGTGTTTCATAATGATGATCAGGCAACTCGTGAAGCTGAAGAATGAGAGGTTTATTCAGGGCTTCCATAACATACAAAGAGATTATTACCACTGAAAACAAATGTTGTTATTGAGGCAAACTGCTGCTTACCAGTCTCTTGAGCACTTTGAGTCTCTCTACAGGATCCTCTATTCTGTTGGCATCAATAAAGTCTGCATACCTATCTATAGAGGCCAGATCATGAAGGAACATTATTTCAGCTGTGGCAGGTGTTGAAGTTGCATGCCTATTTCACTCACAACCACTAGATGGCAAACTATACAATTAATGTTCAAAATATATCAATACAATATGAGTCATAAAGATCCTCAAGCAAGGGAATTCCCACAAAGACGTTTACCGTTAGTGAAGAGGGGTTCAGGAAGTTTCCTGAAGAAGGATTTGAGTAAACTGCTGATCACATTCAAGTCCTTCCATTTCTGTCCAAGAATAGAGAATGTATTTTAAAAAAAAAGAAGAAGAAGAGGAAGAAGGACCTCAAGCAAAAAGCAGAGAAAATGTTGAACTAGACAGACAGAAATATACACTCACATCATCCTGAATATCAATGTCACCCATGCCCTTGTGATTGAGCTCTTCCTGCATGATGGAGATGGCAGAATTATTTCCTGGCACTCTGTAAATGCCTGTGTATTCCAGTCCTCGTTCTTCCACCAGGTTACAGCACACTTCAACTATCAGAGGAACAAACTAAAACACACAAAGTTCAGTCAAATACCTGCAAGCCAATATAAACCCCTGAGACTGCACGGCATATGAGAGTGTGCTGCTTACATAGACAAATATGACTCCAAAATCAGCAGTATGAAAAACATATCAGTTTCCAAATGCAATTATGTTCATCCCACACACTTAAGTAAACAATTCCTCTTTAAACATTATCAAACACCTACAGATAAAAAATATCACAACGGTATTGAGCTCACTCCCTTGTGAAAAAAATTATTTCATTGTACTGAATGTGCACTTGAAGTGTATTTAAAACCTTAAATGTATAAAAAAAACTGTACTTGCAGATATTATATTAATGAAATGAAAGCTCACTTAAGTGTACTTTAAGAGAATACACTTTTTAATGGCTGACAGTTAAGTACACTTTCAAAAATTGCACTCTCTAATAATGTCAAATTAAACGTTTTACTCGAAAGTTTATTTTAAATCATTGTTTTAATAATCATTTGTCACAGTTTTAAAAAAGTATTTGATGTGTTGACTAAAATACTAAACCACATGCAAAGTCCTTGATTATAACAGTAGTGTTATTCTATATTACATTTAAAGTTAATATATTTTAAAAGTACTAAATTGCTAATTTATAAAGTTTCAATAGAAATGTAATTAAAGTATATTTTAGTTTACCATAAATGCTTGTAAGTACATTTGGCAGTAGCCTACACTTTAACCATATTTCAGTGGGATTATAGTTCTAAAATTGCTTATAAAGATGTACTTACGTGAGTTAAAAATGCTCTCTAAAATGCAGCTAATGGTATTTAATATAAATTTACACTATAATATAAATTTACTTGCAATTATGGAAAGTTGTCAAAACATTACATTCAGTTCACACTTAAGTATATTCATTTAAAGTATATTATTATAGTATGCTAAAGAGTACTTATTTTTCACAAAGGACAGTTTTAGGATGTCATTGCCATCAACAATGCCGAGTGAAGCAGTAATAAAGAGAGAAAGTTTTTTATTGTGGTCTTACTCTGTTGTTCTGAGCAGGAGGACAGTCATCTAGTCTTACTCCAAATGTGACTCCTGGAGACGGTTTCCTCTCAAATGGCTTTCTCATCAGTCCAGGGATGCCCTTCCTCCATGTGCCCTTATCCTTGGGTGGGCTGGTTTCATCTATTTACAGACAGCCATAATAATAATGTGTTAAAGAAACATAAGCACTTCAAACCTAGGAAGCTGTCTACCCAGCTCTCTCTATACACCTTCTAAGGCAGCATCCTACCCGAAAAGGAAACTCATAAGCGACTGATTTGCAATGCTCTACAAAGACAGCAACTCTGTGGATGGTCATTCAAGTGCACAACACAAATAGCAGTAATCAACACCACTAATCAGGGCCTTAAAGGTAGGGTAGGCAATTGTGGAGAGCCTAGCAATCCCTTATGAAAAGAAAATATATTTCCCTATATATGAATGATCAATATATTAAATGGTTCAACAGTATATTTGAAAATATAATATATTACAATATATTGAATAATGCATTAGGAATTGCTGCTTTACATATTTTGAAAAAATACAATATTGACAATATATTTACTAATATATCATAATGTGTGTAATTTTATATTCAGTAATACACTTCATAATATATTGATGTATATGTGATGCAGACTGCATGTGTAATATATTTTAGATATATTTACTCATGGAGCATAAACACACACATTTATAGAGACATATACTGTATAATGTAATATATATTTTTTATTATTTACAGTATAAATGTTTCATATTTTCAAGCTAGTTAACAAAAGCACAAGCACACCTGCATGTGCTAAAGTGTTTAGCTAAGAGACTATCACTGTGCAGAGGAGTGCATAGCCATTACTTTTAAAATATAGTAATTAATAAATATAGTTTTAATGCTGCTCGACCAATCGTCAACTGAACCACAGGCTCTACTCTTCAGCACAATGGTAAAACTCAAAAACTCAGACATACCAGAAAACCTATAAAATTCCAAAATAACAGAACATTAAACACTAACAGATCTCCCCCTATATTAATATTGAGCAAAACACATGAAATAACACTTCATTTTAATATGTACTCTCCCTTAACAGTCAGAAGCAAAGCCTGCTGGGAACTAGAAATCTGTTGTAACTCATTCCGTGAATGTGTGTATATATGTGCGAAGATACATTAACATTTATATGGGAACATGTATGTGCAGTATGTACACAAAAAAGGATAACACTTTGTGAATATTACATGTAATGCTATTTTTGTCTTCATTTTTAAATATTTTATATGTATTAATATATAGCCATACATGGTCAATGCATATATTGCAGTATATTGAAAAATATAAGCACTAGCTTCCCATATATGGAAATGTATTATGTGCTACTGTATATCGCATTATATTTTGCAGTATATTCCCATATATTTTTGTTCCATAAGGGATAGCAAGCTAGCTTTCAAAGCATGAGATACCAAAGTCTGCAAAGTGTCACGAGACGAGAGACGCCGTTAAGCTACCTCATGTTTAAACCACATAACATTACAATAATAATTTACATAAACAACTTACAGAGCTCTTACTTGTACCACCTGACTGCTGCAGATTATTTTAAGTATTGATAGTGTTGATAGCCTGGGAAAACCCAGACAACTTTTGGCAAATTTAGATTTGCTCTGAAAGTTAGTCTGGCAAAGAGCTCATTCAAGCCCATTTCCAATCCGTCGAAATCGAGGCACCAACCAGAAACGTTGGGGCGGGCTTTACACGATGACGACAGCGCTGGGATTTTGAAGCAGATTTTGTAGCCTTCATTACAAAGATGGACGGCGCCGTCGAACATCACTCGTTCGAATCAGCTATCGCGTCTGTTTTAAGCGATTTGAACGTTTCCTTTTTGTTAAAAACCGAGCAAAGAACAACACTCGGAGATGTTTCTCCACCGCTCTACATACGTCATCTCCTTCATCGCTCTGATTGGTTTAGGTCTATCCGCGACGTCCGTTGGTGACGCCCCTCTGGAAATGATTTGTCAATGACGCTTTGCCAGACCATAACTCAGTTACAACTGAGAATGGTCTGGTTTTAACCAGGCTATAGTGTTGACATAGAAATGCATACATTTGAGTCTGAGGATGTGAACAGCTCCAGGTACATCACGGGTTGCCATCTCGTATAGTTACGACATGGCATGAACGCAGCATAAGCTCGTTGTTTTGGTTCAGGAGGAACTATAAAAGGCGGCTGCTGTTTGTTTGTGGCGCTCGGTGACTGTCGGTCTACAACTCTGCACAGACTTACAGAACACACTGATGACGTGTGATGTCTGCACCAGCAGGGTGTGCAGAGATATGGAAATACATATGTTGACAAGCAGATACTTATTATTGAATTCAGTCTGATTGGATGAACCTTTAAAAAGTACTTAAAGTTGCAGCAAGCAATTTCTAAGAAACTGTTGATATTTGAAAATCAACCCAAACAAACACACCCCTTCCTTTCATTGCAAGAGTGGATGTCTCTTTATCATAGCTGAAGCGAAGCAAAATAAATAAATAAAGTGAATATGATGGACAAACTACAAGAACTAAAAATGAACATACAGTACACAAGAGTATATTCAAGCAAGAGATAGTTGTTAGTCATCAGCAGCACACTAGCTCCAGACAAACAATTACACCCAAAACTGTCCTGTTTCTATATCTAACATTACAACAACAGCATATCTTGGTTTTGTGAAACATAGTCTCTCCAGCACTGGAAAGCTTTTCTAATATTAACGCAGGTCCTAAAGCTCTTGCCTGATCAGAACCCTTCTTTTTCCAGTGATATCACTCTGACTGTTTCTCTTTTGTAATGTCTCTCAGCTATCTCTCTTTCTACAGTGTTTCATTAAATCTCTCTTCCCCAATCATGAGTGTACGTATATGCCCCCTACTGCTGATCGGCTACAAGTGTGTTGTGGTGCTCGGTCCGATCCACTTTCAACAGCGTTTCTCAGAAATTGCTTACTACACACAAGTACTGGACAACATTTGTATTGATACTTAAAAGTACTGAATAAAATACAAAGAATCCAGAGTTAGTGCCCTTGATGCTGTTACCTTTGTGCATGGCTTTCCTGTCGTGGTCCTTGTTTGGTGAGTGAGGACTTGTGGCTTTATTCTCGCCCTTACCACCCAGTAATGTCTGCCTGATGGACTGACGGGAGGCCTTGGGCGAGGGTTCTGTCTTACTGCTGGGTGGACTGCAACACACATAATCCGAGTCAAGATCTAGATAAGGAAGAAGTCTCCAAAAATTTGATGGGAATTCTTCCCTTCTTCCTGCTTACCTCATCAGAGTGTTGTACTCCTTTATTTTCCGGTTGATGAGGTCTGTGCTAGTAACAGTCGCATTCTACAAAAGGAAGAAGGAAACAGAGAGAAGGCAGACAAAAGTGAGTGGATGAAATGTAAGAGTGGAATCCCCAAACACACCAGAGGGCTTTTGGATAACCCTGTGCTATGAGAAGAAGACACCATATAGTGGAGATGCCATGCTTTTCCTCAAGAGTTACTATTTCTTACAAAAAAAGCCCTAGGTTATGTTCAGCTATTGTAAAAAGTTTCTTTAAATAGGGCCTTTTTCCATGATTCATAAGAAAGTCCAAAACATCCACCATATCAATATCAGGTACTAGACTTGGATATATTTACCCCGCACCACTCACATCACTAAACGAAAATGCAAAAATAAAAAAGGTTTCCCGTCAGCCTTTGTGATCCTTTGGATTTAGATTAAGCTATATTGTTTTTATAGTGTTGTCTAGCCCACTTCGGCACACGTCTGAGCGTTCAAAGGCAAGCATCTTCCAACTTCCAAGCATCCAAGTCAGTCTTAACATAATTGGGATACTAAAGATGTAAGTAATTCAGACACTGTATGAACTCTGAAGTCACCAATTGAATGGCTGGTACTGCTCCTTTATAAATATGAATTGAAATTGCATTTGTATTTGAGGGAAAAAGTGCGGATCATTCACCTCTTCATCCAAGTTGCTGTTCTCTTGAATGACTCGGATCCAGGACAGCATTTCCTCTCGATCCTCCGCCTGGAACAGGTATTCACAGTCTGACGTCGTCAGCCGGAGGACGTTCTTCCGTTTGGTGTCACTGTAGGAGATGTCAATGAGACAGGCTTTGATGCTGATCGGCAGAGGCTCGTCTTCGATCTGGGAGCTGGCGTTGATTTGTCCGTCCCTCTTGTCTTTGTACAGGTAGAGGCAGTGGCCACGAAGCACAGCGTAGATCTGCTTCCATGACCGTATGCCGCTGCCAACACGCTGTAGGAAAGATAACCGAATTATGAAAATATGATTGAATTGAATGAGCCAAGTTAAAATAGCAAATATACACAAGCTGCTTGTCAACTGTAAACAGCCTACATTTTAATTAAAGTTATGAATGGGTTTATTTGATAAAAATTATGGTACATTGCTGCTGTATTTTACACCCTTAATTTTGGTAAAATCACTATAACAGAGTCTTATTGTTGGCTTATTATTTAAATGTACCACATATTGTACGTGTTTTAACCTCTAAATCTGTGGTGTAAAATATGACAAGATCTCACAAGACAAGATCTCTCGCACTACAGTACTTTGTCCAACATTAAATGTTTCTGAAAGCCTGCCAGCCATTCACATTCAGACTCGTTTCAACACGTTTACAATATGTTTGACAAGGACTCCTACAGCATCAGAAACCAGCATGCTCTGCCGACACTTTCATTCAGTACTGGGACCTAGAACAAGAGAAAACATGATTGTGAATGTTGGTGTTTAATGGTGTTGTACCTTGCCCTTATCTGAGTTCAGCTGCCGGAAATGAAGCGGACCCTCCTTTGTGGCATCAGTGAAGACATCTGAAGTAGAGTCTCTCCTAGAGTCAGAGTCCTCAGAGGACCTGTCAACAGCCTGAAACACACCAAACGCACAATTTACATTCTTTGACAGCTGCCACTGAAATGAGGACCACTGAGCTCAATAGTCAAATTGAAAAGGACATCAGATTATTAGATGACAAGCAATGCATTTTTTACATTTTCAAATCAAAATATTTAAATATGTTGATTAATTAATCAATATCCAATGTGGATGGTTCTACACTCATTCTGTGCTAACAGGTGGGACTATGAAAAACATGAATGTGACACTTTAAACTTACATTTCTCTCATAGAAAATCCCATTAAATTGACAGATCATGCCCCCGACGCAATGCGGCGCTAGGCTAGGCGCAAGTCGTTAGCCTCATAGCATAACTGCCTAAGTCATTTTGTTTTTTTTCTTGTTTTCCAAAGACATTGAAATATGACTTACGCAATTATGCTATGAGGCTAACGAAGTGTTTTTTGCTAGTTTCAGCCCGACGCAGTTATCATTTTCACATCCTGTGCCACATTGTTTAAATAGCAAATGCATTTGCTCCCATCTGTTCGCCCATGGGCGTGCTGGTCTGAAACCGAGGTGTATTCAGCCGCATTGTTGGCGCGTTGCTATTTCGAGGCAACTGAAGACTGTGCTATTGACAACTGAAACCTCGTCTAAAGTCAATGGCACAGTATTTTTTTTTTTTTTGTTATTTAAAGAGCGCGTTTGTAATGTGTGCCTATAGGTGGGTCCACAATGTGCGTACACTCTGCTTATTACACACACAGGGACGTGCAGCAGCACACAAACATGGCACATTTTTAAAATAAAAGGATTACAATGTAAAATATTATTATTGTGTACATAAAGATATGGTGGAATCCGGCTTGTCCTGTAGATGGTCTGCTGAAGCGCTTTAACCTCGAGCACGAGCTGATCAGTTTGCTCTCTGGAGAAGCGTTCAGTCTTTCCGCTTGCAAATTCCGCCATGTAAATAGCGAATCCGCCATGGCGCAAGTGCTACTGGCTTTTAAAGGGAATGGGAGATGAGACTCTGATTGGTTTATTGCACATTACGCCCAAAACACACCCATTACACATTTCCCGTCGTTAAACTAGCAAAAGTGGATTCAGACATGCCATTAGTGCACTTGCGCTGTGCGCTTTAGACCATGTGCTTAGATCATTCAGATGTTGATGTTAGCTGGAGATCAGGTGCCAACTGGACATAACTTTATCTAAGGTGTAAACTAATCATAATGCAGTTAGTGTGAGTCTTAGTCATATATTATCTCTCTATTACAGCAGTCTCACCTTTCTAAGGCCCCTGAATCCATGGGTGTGTTTAATCGACCGCCTGTACAAACACAGTAAACACAGAGGTCATATAATGCAAGAGACAATAATGGAAGAAGGTTGACTTTTCATCATTGTGGTCATTGTACTGATTTGATTTTAAGTAGTGACTGTAAACATACCCTCTTCCTTCTCTGTAATTATCCAAGCCCTCATCGAAGGATCTGGAGCGCTCGGTTTTAGCTCCAGAATCAGATTCCAGAATTGTGAGTCGTAAAGAATCTAGGTTGGAGATATGGGTGAATTCATAGTTAAAAAAGAGACACAATTCTGATATCACTGAGAAATTGTATGTGTTGGCAGAGATGTTCCTCACCCTGGTCATGGGACAGCTGTCGGCGTATTACGGGAGAAGGGGAAGTTGGACTGGGTGGGATGGTGGTGATGATAGGCATGCTGGAAATCACGGCAGATGCAGGAATGTGTGTTGTGTCATGGTCATTACTGGAGCTTGACGGCTCATCTGATGACAACAGACATGAGACACTTATAAGATCTTTTATCTTTGTAGTGCATTGCATGGAGTAATGTAGTCCAATAGACACAACAGAATCAGACAGTCAAGAGGAAAGTTGCTTACTCATACAGCAAGCAATCATTAAATTGATAAGACTCCCACACCTTTTTATACACAGACCGACGATATACAAACAATAGAGCAGACGGGTTGCATCACTGGAAAAATTATTACTAGTACATTTTTAACCACATGATTTTAATTCCCTGTAGTTTTAGGTCCTAGCAACCAGCTCTCTCTGCAGTCTCTGTGTAATACACTAATACAATTTATGATGCTAAAATAACAATTAGGTGTGCTTATTTAGTTCTGAAAAAAAAAAAAAGTTTACAGTCTACCAAACCCAACACAGTCAACCAAATTAAACAAACTCAACCATAGTCATAGTCTTTTAAATAAAACACAAAACCAATCACAAAACAAACCCAAACCAAAGTGTATTAAATTAACTTAAAAACGTCTACTAGGGCTTCCCCCGACTAAAATTGTTCCTAGTTGACTAGTAGTTGTTCATTAGTCAACTAATTGCATGTTTAGCCTATATTAATTTAATCACTTAAATATTACTGGGTGCAGAAGCCTATTCCGCACACAAGCACATGCATAAAGCTTGCCGCAAAGCACTGGCAAAAGTAATGGTTATGAATGTGGAGGAAAAAATATCAAGGAGACATTTTAATTGTTTATTAATAAACTAGTGTTTTCTGTGTCAGTGTCGGCTGCAAAGATGAAGTTGACGATGCTGACTCGACATCACAGTATAGTCAACGTGCCTATATAGAGAGAAAATTACCTTTCATATGGATTAGCCTACATAATTCCGGATAACATAATCAGAGTATTTGTTTTCGAATTGGTTCGTTTAAAAGTAGACATGTGTAGCTTTCTATATATATATATTTCTCATGTCTGTGAGGCAAGTAGCCTATACACTGACTTTCGGTAAATTTTTGTGACACGCTCCAGTTCACAGAGACAGAGACGTCAAAAAGCACATCCTGTGTTTTTATTTTTATTTTACAAAGGCACAACATTTTTTTGTTATTGTGAGTGTACACATATAAAAGTAGACAGTTTGGAATTATGTATTACTCTTATCTGTATGACAAAAAATGCAAGTGATCAAGCCGGTGCCTCAATGTCATGCGAGTGAAGCACGCTTATACTTCACACTGTATAAAAAGTTGCTGCCTTAAATTTTTAAGTACAATCAACTTGGATGTTTAAGTCATTTCAACTTATATTACATTAAACTGACTTGCTGTTTAGCAATTTAGTTGTTAAGCAATTCAAAAGTTGAATTGCTTAACAACTTTTGATGAGTTAAAGAAATGTAAAAAATCATGTTGTCATAACACATGTATGTGCACCTAATAATAGCGCACATTTATCTAGGTTAACGTTAGAGTTATGTAAAGTTGCTACTTGCATGTTCCAAATGATAAGCCATATTTTAGGTAGATGGATGATAGAGGAACGTTTGGATTTCCTGACCAACACACTGTAAAACACATTCTACCAAATCAAACATAAAAAAAAAAAAACATTATTTTGAAAGAGATTAGATTTCAGGAACTAATCAAAAAAGATAAATATTTGAGCTAGTTTCCACTGGTATGTTCCATTACTTTGTCATATCACTTTACTTCTCTCTTGTTTGTTTGAGTTTTCCAAGCTGTGGATGAGCTGGGGGGGAGTAGGAAAGTGTCAGGGAATGGCAGTGGAAGTGGCTGCCCTGGGTGGAATGTGTCAGTATGTCACATTATCTGTGCCCCTGTGGACTATGATGTCATGTCCTATCACTGTACTGGTGTACATTACAATTTGGAGATGCTCCCAGGGACTGACCCATGCACTTCACAAACACACTGAACTAGTTGTGTACATATCAAAGCCCATGACACATTCTATAATTAAATGTGCAGGCTGGTGGAGTATGGAACTGTATCTTGAGAAGCACAACCATTTGTGATGACCAATCAACAAATTCTAATGTCTTCGTGTTGGACATACCTGAGGAATCTGTATGTCTGTAATGTCTAGAAATTGGCCAATATAGTGAGGATGACCAATGACTCGAAATACACCTTCTCCTTCTCTCTCTCTTTCTCTCTCTCACACACACACACACACACACACACACACACACACACACACACACACACACACACACACACACACACACACACACACACACACACACACACACACACACACACACACACACACACACACACACACCTCGCAGACAGACAGACACACACACACATTACCAGAACTCAAATTACTCATCACTCCTCTCTGCCAACTTTGTTTACATTGAGTTGAGCTGTTCATCCTGCTGTTATTACTGTTAACATCATAAAACCTCACTGTTGTACACCACTTGATCTAAAGCTCTCTATGCAAAGCCTGGCCCATTAAGAACGAAGAAACAGTGTGGCCTTTTATATGATTTATCTGAGCAATAAAAAAGCAAATTCATCAAGACCTGCTCTAGTGTGGCAGCACAATGGAGTAGACAATGACAGCCTTGTGTAAAAAGTAGGGAGATGAAGTTCAGATGTTTAGTTAGATGTTTAGCTCTGAATAATATAAAACAGTGAATGTTGAGACAAAGTCTTTCCCCTGTGTCCCATCAGCTGCTTAATATTATAAACAAAGATACAGCAGGAACACATGTTCTGTGAATCACTTTGCTAAACACACTACTAACACAACATTTTACCTATACAAAAGTTAAGCAAGCAAACAGCCAAAATAGATGCAACTGGCATATGCAAACCCCCTTGAATATGTAAAATAAACATTTTTATATGAATTTGGAAGATGCTGGAACTACAGGACAAAAAGTATTTGAAAGTAAAGTAACAAAAAATATATTAAAACATGTTAACCTTTTCAAAACTCATCTCCTTTCAGGGTAGACTGAACAGTTGCTATAGCAACAGAATATGTGGTTATATTGTATAGTTGAAAAAGCCTCTCACCAATGAAGGGAATGGAGTCCAGTGAGTCATCAAGGTTGCTTGAAAAGGAGGTTTTACACTGGTCTCCTAGTTTCCTCATGTGCATTTTGCGTGGGGTATTGTTAGGCAGCCAGCATGTGTTGGAGACTGCAGGTGGTTCAGCCACTCCCTCTGTCTCATTCACCGCCAGAATGTAGGAAGTGTGGCGGATAGGTTGAGATCCAGACTTCTGCCTCCGAACCACTACTACAGTGGCATTTGGACCCTCGATGCCTTCCACCACCTTCTCATTGGGAGTTTGTGGTTCTATGTACCTAGGCTGCTGAGGAACTGTTCCATTACTGGTCAGTAACTGGTCAGGCTTGGATCCACCTGGCTTTGTTCTGTTGGGTTTAGTGACGGCAGAACAAGAAGAAGAGCGATGTCCACGGGCTACCTCTCTGACAGGCTCCTGAAGGCTGTCAGCCCGCCCCCTAGGCTGTAACTGCTTTGCATTGTGGGGCATGTGGTTGGCAGTGAGCTGTGTTCTTTGGTCTTTGATGGGGCCTGTGTTGGAACTACCAGTGATGTGGCCTTGTATTGAGGCCAGGGCAGAAGCTATATATGAAGCAGCAGCAGTGGAAGGGTCTGAGCCATAATTTTTCTCAGGTAGCAGTGAGGGTCTGTTTACGGAAGGTGCAGAGGTGTTACCCAGGCTTTCAGCTCTGGAGGTAAGCAATGAATCCGTACCTCTGCTGAAGAGAGGGGTGATAGGCAACCCTGGGTAACTGCCCCCTCGTCTGTCTGGGCTAAATACACCCTGTGTTCTGTGAGGCGCCATGCGTAAGGAAGAAGACTGCCTGCTTGCTCTTGCCTCATCCCCTCTGTGCATGAGTAACCAATCCTCTGTCTCAGTTCTGCAGCATGCCTGCCTGTCCAACATGGATGTTGCATTTTCATTCTGTCTGCCCAGATAGTCACAAGAATATGCTCGCGGTTTCAGCATACCTGTGGGGGCCGACGGGAGGGCATCCTGGGAAGCACTGCGGGGCCAATTCCGTGCAAGAGCAGTCTGTTCTGAACCACCAAGCCTCTCATGAGAAGCGCTACGCAAAGGCAGCACAGTAGATACCTGATAACTCCGATCATGTGAGGCGCTCCTCCGCCTCAGCTGTGATCCAGAAAAGCCCCGTGACGGCGTAGCTGTTGTCGACATGCTCTTCGGCTTGCTGTATTCGCCTGTACTGGATGGGGATGCAGCTCGCAGACTGTCCAGGCGTTCCTCAATAGTCCGGGAGCCATACATGTAGAGCCGTTTGTTGTCAATGTACTCCTTGTAGGTGGTGTAGTTCCTCCAGTCAATATTCTGATGGGGAGAGCAGGGGGAAGGGGTGGCTGGTGGAGGAGATGGTGTGTAAGGGGTGGGAGAGGTGGCTGATGGGAAGGTTTCTGCTGTTGTGGTTAAGGTATGTCTGTGGGAAGATACAGGCTTCATGTCTATGCAAGTCTGTGCAGTTTTGTCAGAGAACCCAGTGGGCTCTGCAATTCTGTTGGGTTTGTGCGGAGATTGTGCTGCTGCCCCAGTTGGAGATGAAGTGACATGAGCTCTGGACCTGTTAAAGCTTGGGTCTGTTGAAGCGGCATTCTGATTCTCCTCCATCCTGTGGCAGGGACCAGCCCAGGCCACATGGGAAGTTTGATCTGTAGTTTCAGGTGACGCTACCATTGTCCTAACGTTCTCATTAAATACACGCACAACAGTTTGGGTCTTGGGGACCTGAGAGGTTTGAGATGGGATAGGGGGAGATACAGGTATATCAAAGCGGCAGCCTATGTCAGGCTTGTGGCATCGATTTGCTCCTTGTCTGGTTCCACATGATGCCTCGGCAGAGCATGATGGCTCTGACACCTGTGCCATGGCCAAGGCATTGGGCTCTATCCGTGGGTAACATATTGGGGGCGGTTCGGGGATGTTCTGGGCATTTCCACTATATGCCTCATTTCCTTTGAGGTACGCATCTTGAGAATAGGCCTGAAAAGAAGGGACATTTGATTAAATATAAAGAATGAGTAACACTACATGCACTAAACAAATACTGAAATGCAAAATAGATTAATTACAAACATACCGGTAGTTAATGTTGTATCAAACGTCAAAAATCTTACTATACTATTTATCTAGTAAATTAAAGGGGGCAGGTTGACCCCGATGTCTTTCTCTAAAGTTCAAATACATCCCAGGAAAAGTGAGAGAGGGGAAAAGGTCACATAGCCAGGCTCAAATGCCTTAACCTCATGGAGGGATTAGGTATCAGAGGCTTACCTACCTTTAGCTGAGGAGAGAGAGCAGTGCGTAGACAAGAGGAAAAAGCGAGAGGAGGGCAGCCTTTCACCGAGCACTCTACAGAGGCTAGTAGCTGCTCTGTTATCATCTTACAAAGTCAACAGCCAACTAAAATCCTTAAGGTCAAAATACTACATTCTGCTCAGGAAATTACTCAATTTACAATGCGTCTTCTTATCCCAGGTTAAATATATAAAGTTATTTCTGCCTCAGCTGTCTCAGTGTGCATATGATAGAGCTCAGGCATTAATGAGAGTACAGACGTGATAGCTGGACTTTTGACTCTACACCTGAAGTGTCGAGTTACACAGACATGTCCCTCCCTCTCTCTCTTCCTCTGTCTGCTCCGCCTCTTCTAGGGAAATAAAGATGACTCAGAAGCCAACAAATTTTAAGGTGCAACCTTATGGCAGTGGAATAAATTAGGAGAAAAACGTGTTTTGTGATTGAATAAGCATATACTGTACCCAAGCTTGCAGTTCTTAAGATAGGTAAAGACTGGATTGGAACAGATATTACAACAACAAAAGGGCAAAATTACATAACAGAAGAGAGGTAGCAAGTGACAGGTTTAGCTCCTTCTTACCAGAGCTGTGATATCCCTGGAGAACTGCAGCCGGAAGGTAAGATTGACAGCGGGAAAAACAAAGGAAGAAAGAACAGGAAAAAGAGCAATTGTGAGGGAAGATGACAAGAGCTCTACAGGTACACCAGAAGCAATCAGCCCCTATTCCAGACAGTGCTGCTGTCATTCTAGTGTAGGATAAAGCATGCTATAAATACACACTGCAGCAGAGAGAGAGAGAGAGAGAGAGAGAGAGAGAGAGAGAGAGAGAGAGAGAGAGAGAGAGAGAGAGAGAGAGAGAGAGAGAGAGAGAGAGAGAGAGAGACTACTGGAGGCCTGCCAGTCCAACACCAGAGATGAACCAGACAGAGGAGGACACACTTAAGATCAGAGGGGGACAACTGCTGCTCTTTCCAGAGTGTTCCTGCAGCTTTAAACCAAGTAAAACTTTTACACACAAACTCAGTCAGCCAACATTCTCTTATACATTGCATATGTGGCTCCTTTCCACCTAAACACACTCTTAAAAACAAAGGTTCCAAAAACTTTTCCCTAAAGAAACTTTTAGTGAACATTTCTTAAAATAACCACTTTTTTAATAATCGTAAGAACTTTTTTTCTACTATAAATAACCGTTTGTAATGGAAAGGTTCCGTGGATGTCAAAGGTTCTTTATTGAACCATCAATGCCCAAAAAGAAGCTTTATTTTAAGAGTGCTGTGACTGTCCGCACAATTCTGTTCTTTTCAAATGGCAGCTTCATTAATAAGGTGGTCCACAAGTGGTCAGCTAAGACTCATTGCTGTCTATACCTGGAAGTAATACGCGTCTCAAATGTGTCTTCTACGACCACTTTCACATTTATTTTAAGGGGATGGTCTGTCACTATCTCAATAAAATAAAAAATAAATGTATAAAAACTGCAAAAAAATTATATTCTCATGATTTTCTCAAACAAAAAAGTGAAAATATTATCCAATATTTTTGACAAAGTACACATAATCTGGCAACATGGATTGAAATGTAGCTAAAGCAGCGCAATGGAAGAAAAAATGAAAAATGAATAGCATCTACAAATAAGGCAAGCAAATGGATGGACATACATTTAAATCTATACCTGCTACGAGTTTGTCCTTTACCTGTTAGTTTCACAGTCAAAATAGGCACTTTGCAAGGTGCTGCTTTGGATCTGATCAGCTGACTACTTTGCATACGGTACTTGACGTTCCCTGAAGTCCATTCATATCTTCTGCCTATGACTCCCAAGCACACATGGTAATATGATCCTTTTTTTCTGCCTCTACTCCACCTAAACCCATTCTCTGTGTTTTATCCATAATTTCTAAAGCTAGTTTGTCATCAGCATAATTTAAGGCAATTTTAGACTACAGCTTTTACCATACATTTATGTGATAGAAAGCATACCAAGACTCAAACTGTGATTGTAAATCAGGGTCATTCCACCAAATATTGATCTCTGAACTCTTCCCAAGTTAAAACATTAGTATTGTGTTGTTTGATAAAGGAATAACTGACAATGGGCTGTTATTAGAAAATAATGCACACCCAGAGTGGTAATTCGGCCACAATGCGAAGCGGAGTGCCATATTTTTCAATAATTCAATGGCTCTGAGTCAATTATTCTGCTTATATACTACGGTTACCACACCTCAAAACATTGTTCTGATGATGTATTTTAAGACATTTGTCAGGTTTTTGTCCTTAAAACGCTCTTGTGTGTAGGACTAATTTCTTACGCATCTAATCCCATGTAGCTTTTAAATTGTTTTGGGTTTTGGTTCTTTTTCTGTTGTACTCTGTAAGGACACTTGAAATAACTAAAATCATTTGGCGAAGTGATGTGGAACTGTAATGTGGTCGAGACCTGCCTGGAACTACTTTAGATGTGCGTTTCCCTGAAAATAGTTGCACGCCTTAGAACGTTCGTCAACCAATCAGATTCAAGCATTCAACAGCCCTGTAGTATAAAAATTAATATTTTTTAATAATTTTGTATTTGATGACCAAAAAAGACTGCAAAGTTTATACGGGTTGATAAAATATTAGCATATTCCTAATCTTGGATTACTATTGTTTTTGTTGTTTTTTTTTATGAAAAAAAAGACATTAAATTACTAATAATGATACAAATAATATCTAAAAGTAACAATCATAAAATTGTTTAATCTAATAAAAGTATGTATGATATGATATCTATCTCTACTGGAATCAATTGTGAGTTAATATCTTCTCGCGAGGAGCGTTATTGGTATGTGGTACAGATTTGCTGAGTATATGTAGGGTTTCAAACCAGTCACTTATGAGGAACATAGCTGCCTTAGAGGGAAGATCCCTATGCAGACAGTAGAAGACTGTAGGTTTTGGAAGATAACTTGTTGCTAGAACTGCTTCCTGTTAGCTGAAATAACAAGCATGAGTGTCATTCCTAAGTCTTAAACTCTACTCTGGATGGACTCATTACTGTGAAATCAAAAAGTGCCCGAGGGCTCCACAGTGGAAGATGAGCATTACATGTAACAGCCTGAGATTTGGAGTTCCGTCTGGAATGTGCACTGCAGAAATGGGGTTGGCATTACGTCCCTAGTTCTGCGGAAAACCTCATTATAGCTGAATTCAAAATAAGCACACACACACACACACACACAGGCGCCATCACGCTTCTCTGCTCCGCTGGATCACTGAACTCTGCCTGGAAGAGCATCTTCACCTACGCAAACTGGTGCCATCTGTCTCCACTGCTCTGCTTCCCTTCCAACAATTCCTTTTGCTTAAGTAATTTCATCCATTTTTCACCCAGAAACTTCAAAAGCCACATCTTTTGACCACAACACACTGTTAAACTTGAAAGGACATTACTGGCCACAAAATTAAAAATAATAAAAATTCTCTCAAATAAGAATTCACACAAGTTTAACCGATCAAGGTTAACTAGCCAATACAAAGGCGAGATAAAGCCTGAGGATTAATCTATGTTCGCGGAAGAAATTATGATTTTTTGGGATGTGTGACAAGTAAACCCATGAGAAATTAAACCTACCAGCTGTAAAATGTCTTCATCTTTTGGCATTACGCAGAGCTCCAGAGATGTGTCACTGCAAAGAAACATTTTTAAAAAATAAACTGGAAATGATATCTCAGACGAAGTCATGAATACAGTCACGAGTACAGTGCTTTTTTTATGATATTCAAGAACAAGGAAGAACTGCTAGCTGTGTTTTTACCAAACAAAATTATGCAATAAAGAGCATATTCATTAAACTTCCTCAAGGATTAAGAGATTTATCTGGAAGACTTAGCAGGAACAGATAATCAACCCACAAAATGAGCAAAAAGGGAGCATGTGGATACAGAGCAGCAAGTATTCCTGGATTAAGTATCGTATAAAATTTCATTTACGTTAAAATCAAAACCTACAACTAGTTACCAAGTCAGATCCTTAACTATGAGGCTACAGTGCAAGTTGCAACATTACCTGTTCTGGATAAGGGCGATTACTTGGGAATACGTCTTCCCGATGATGCTTTCTCCGTTGACTTTTACAATGCGATCCCCTGTGGGAAGGAGAAACAGGAAGAGAGCCAGATGCTATAGTTCAGTTATTTAAAATTATGTTGTTGGTTTTTAAAATCATGGCACATGATGCCATGGTAAAAATAATTACAGATTTGAATAGGAATTCGTAAACCTGGAGTAAGCATGTTTGTTCAGATATGTTGATGACCGATGTGTGCTGAAGATGAGATTCACAGGAAAACAATCAGAGTGAGCCAGCAGCGAGATATTGTGGATAATTGTGGGAACATGTGTTCTGGACCCTCCCAAAAGTCTGTCCACTGAGACCAACATAGTAATAACTTCTCAATGTTTATTTGGGTCCAGACTGATCACACTTACATAACACTTCAGCTGCTTATGAGGAAGTCCTGCCAATGCATTTTGGATGCTGGCTGATGGTTTGACCTCTTGCCTGGTTTACCTCCAACTGTTTAGTAGTGATGCCTTCATGCATCAGTTAACTACAGATTTGTGTCTTAAGGGGGCTGACAAGCAGGATGTGTGGTCTATCTGTGCTATTTTTATATTTGCTAGTGTACATACAGTATGTGTCAGATGGATGTAACAACGTCAGTTTTACCGAATCAATTCGAGCTTGAGTCCTCATTCTTTGGAAGTGCATGCAAAGTGGATTTGCTTTCGCAGCGAAGAAAACAGTGTCTTCTCCACGTGTCGACAACACAAACCAAACTCTTCCAGACCTCAGCTACAACTACAGTGTTTGAGGGCGGGTCAAAGTAGACGTTGTTCGTAAGAAGCCAATGAAGACCATAGGCTGGCATTATGCAAATCTGTTACAAACCTTTGTAGGTTCGAGCAGGATATAAGGCTGGAATTACTGACGACTCGTTTCAGCGGGTTCACAATTGGTTCTTTCTTTTAGGAGACTCCATTTATCTCTAAAAACCTTTTACATTCACACACAGCTATATTACACACTACATGAAAGGTAATATCAGAAAAAGCATATTAGGGGGACTTTAAGACGGTATAATAGATAAATAATTTCAACAAAATCTCACCTGGTGTACAACTCACCAATGTTAGTTTAAAACAACGGACTAGGGGTGTCACGATATACCAGTATTGATGATAACTGTGATATTTAAAACAAATAAATATTGATATCAGCTTAATACTACACATACATTGACATTCATATCACAAATAATCCAGCAACTATCTGGTTGACACTCCAATATAGTTAGTGGCGGTGGTGCACATTAACGCCGGTTGGTCACAATATTTAGCTCGCCAGTGGGGAAGCTTTTGGACAGGGCATTAGACATCCCAGTTTACAGGAAGTACCATTCTTTTTGAAGGCTTTTGTAACATTTTTGGTTACAAACACTCTCTCCGCCTCCCTATAGTTGTATTTTGAGATTGTGATTCATTGGCCAGAAAAAAGAGAAAACACAACATTAAGTTAAAGATGAATCTGACTGATATCATCATTTATATTTTTTCCCCAGAATTTCTATAGATATTGTGATCAAATCTTTATTGTGAATTCTTTGGGCCAAGATAATCATCTAGTGAAAATCTGATATTGTGCTAGGCCTACAACAATCAAATACGAGCATTAAAACATGTTTCGAGACTTGTACAAGAACCAGTACCTGTGCAGAGTCCAGCTCCATGTGCGGGGCCGTCCTCTTTCACCTGCTTGACAAAGATGGTGTCCATTGGCTCCAGTCTGTTCCGCTGTCTCCCTGATGGCACGAGACAAAGGGCAAGAGTCACTTGAGAGTCATCAAAAACAAAAAGTAAGCAGGGAACTTTCACAAATTCTATGATTTTTCAAGTTGGAATATCTAATGAAACCTTGTCAAGCCTTGGCCATGTCCTCTCTTTTTCTCATGCATTTTCCAAATGAAATCGGTAATATTGCACAGACTTATACTGCACAACGACGAGACAGCACGTTAATCTACTGTGCTCTAGTCATGCTCACTGAATCCTCTGTGGCAATCTCTCATAATCCGATCTGAGTAAAGCATAAGATAATATAAGATATGCGCATGCCTACGTGTGAGAGTGTGTGTATGCACATATTTGACGGGGCTAGATCATGCTGACAGCCGCATGCCTGTAGGGATACACTAAGTATGTGTGCTGTCTGAAGCACTGCAGCTACAAATGATGACAACGCTTACATTATGACACACTGCATTGATTAGTATGCATCTAATGTTGATGCTGCACACTAAATTGTGAGTCGTAAACATTTACCTGCTAACTCGTCAGTTACTTTTGGACATTTTAACAAAGTAACAGTAACAAAGAATCTTTCTCCATTATACATAGAAACGGCATAACAAAGCCTTTGAAAAAGTGCATCATCTCTGGGACAAATGCGACAAACCAACATATTGAATTATCAGCTTGCATAGCCCAACAAGGAATCTGAACGTTTTCATCATTTTCTATGATGGAGGACAATCTGTATAACTCTGTGGAATGTAGGGCTGCACGAAAAAATCTATTTTCGATTGTTCTCGTAAAAATTACGATAATTTTTTCCCCCCCCGAGGTTTAATGTGCTTGCTTGTAGGGCTGCACAATTTGGCCAAAATGTATGATTATATATCAATATGGATATATAATAATGATAATAATTTTGAATAAAACATTATAAAAACAAAATAAGAAATATGAATTTTACAGTAAAATAATAGTTATATTTCTTATTTTGTTTTTAATATTTTTAATAGAACTAAAAAAAAAAAAAATCTTTTACATCTGTAAAATTACAATACTAAGATTTTTGGCTGTCTTCATTTATTTTGACTTTTATTTTGACAGAACTCACAGGAAAAACACAGGAAGCCCTTAAAGTCACTATGAAATCAAAATGGACAATGTAATACTAAGGTATTTATTATAAATTATTGATCTATTCACATCATTATTACTATTTTTCTTTAATTCATGTGTCCTCGTAAACTTTAATCAAAATAACTTCCTCTCCCTCTTGCAATTACATCTCTTCTCTTCTCTGATGACTTGTTTACCGGTGCAAGGGCGTGACAACCTGACGACCAATAGCAAACCACAACCATCCAATCAATTGCAGATGAACAAAATCAAGTCCCTCCCTACATTTTTCTTTTGTTCGATACGCCATTTCACACTGATATACGTCACAAAAGGGAACAAAAGACTATCGCAACTTCCGTTTCATACAGACTTAAGCTTTTTTTTGTTTTTTTTTGTTAATGACATTCAAGTCTCATTCAAGTATTTGAAGATTGCTGGCGCATATTGCGTTCCCAAATGCACATTAAAGTGACCCAAACTCCGAGCAGACGCTCCTGAGCTGCTCACGTGTGAAAACAGTGCCGCACTTCGCACTGAAACGCGCAGAGCAAATATTTATTTAGTTAAATCACAGCTTTTGAGCTTTGATAAACTCACAATATTTATTTCCATTAATCGTGCAGCCCTAGTGGAATATGTTTAACAGAGCTGACTAACCGAATTAATACCAAACAAACGGGCAAGAGATGGGTAGCTTTGCAAATGTCAGCTGTTCAAACTCTGCAGAAACCTACAGAGGCAGATTATGTGCTGACCTACATGTAGAGTAGTTTGGGATCAGAAAAATTAAATCCACACCAACACAGTAAAGTGCACTGCAGACAAAAAACATTCACCAATCACACAAAATCACTGATGCAAACAGATACATCTTACTTGTGCTTGCACTAACATATAGCCACACAAAAACTCAGTGTTTAATGTTGTTACACTAATGTGTGGTGTCAGGCTCCCTCTACAAGCACATGAGGTATTGCAGAAGATTTTCACCATGTACTGAATGATGTAACACCTCACTGGCAACATATAATACTGAGCATGCTCTGGCTCTGACATACTGTACATCTGAGTGTGTATGTACATGCATTAGTTTCTGACTATAACTTATTTTTCTAGTTTTTGAATTCTACAAAATGAATGTTTAAAGGAGCTGTATGTAAGAAATTTATTTCAATTAATCATAAAATGGCCCTGAAATGTCACTAGACATTAAGAAATCATGTACATTTCAAATACTTATACCACTGACAACAGTAGTCTGGCCAGGATATTGCCATTTAAAAAGTGCAGTTGCAGCCCTCAACTGATGTTGATGTTGTCATGTTGTGTTTTGGTCTGATGCTCCACCCTCCACCTATCTACCAATCACGAAGTCAGTAGTGTTGCGGCATCCGGGTTGCCAGCTCTGCTCTAGTTACCACAGCTGCAGCTCGTCACGTTCCTGCTGGATCCTGCAGTCTATCTGGCAACCTCGAGTCAGGGAGGAGGGGGAGGGGATACACCACTCTACAGTAATTTGAAAGTGATTGCAGTACTAGTTTTGGCCACAATCTTGCATACAGCTCCTTTAAGTGTCAAATCAATTGTATTTATATAGCACTTTATAAAATACAGCATCACAAAATTCAGGAATTAGTAGTTGCAATTCAAGTAGAGGTACAACAAAGCAGCTCTACAGAGGTTCACACAGTCTAAGTGAATTAAATGCTACTGCTACAATAGTTTCAGTCTCAGCTTCAAATATGTCACTCTGCCACTGATGAGAAAGCAGAAATAAACAGTGGCAAGAAACCAAAATGAACTTAAACATAATATACCCTAATATTAATTAAATGAAAGGCCACCTAAGTGTACTTAAAGAGTACACTTTTATGACTATAAATATACGTTTAAAAGGTGCACTCAGGCCCCGTCCACACTACTGCGTTTTCGTTTAAAAACGGAGACCTTTTGCTACATTTGCACCTCCCGTCCAGACTAAAACGGAAAAAACGAAGACCTAAAACGGAGAAGTTTAGAAACGCCGCAGCTCCGTTTTGCGTTTTGAATCTCCGGAGGGCGTTTTAGTGAAGACGGGACAAAACAGAGGACTTTAGAAACGATGACGCAGAGGCTCACGCTCGGCTCCTCCCTGATTCGTCAGCCACCCATCACATGTCAATCCGTTTCCTGTTTACACCGGCACGCGCATGCCCAGTGTTGGTGAATGGTCACGTGATCTGCGTTTTCAGGCGTTTTAATGTGGACGGAGATCAATTCTAATACGCAGATAAAACGCTGGTGTGGACGGAGATCATATTCGTTTTAATTCTCCGTTTTTAAACGAAAACGCAGTAGTGTGGACGGGGCCTCACTGTGTAATGTCAAATTAAGTTTCATTTAAAGTACATTTTAAATCATTAGGTTTTAAAGTCCCGCTGTAGTCAATCATTTTATCCCATAAAACTCACCTTTGATCACCAAAATTACACATTTAATGTTTTTTCCTTGAATTTTTTTTTATTTATGCCTTAAAATAGCTTGAATGTAACTCTCTTGCCTCATTTAGCGGTTCTATGAATATGCAAATGAGCCCCGCCTCCACTCACTTACTCAGCTCAGAGATCCACTCGTTGAAGATCACACACTGACCTGATTGGTTACAAGGTAGTTTGTGACATCAGAAACACCAGCGATTTCAAAACCGTGTTTTTGAGACTGTCTTTGGTTCACTGCAGTTTTACAGAGAAAATACTCAGCAATGGTGTTGACTTATGAATTTGCACATGGTTTGTCTTAAAGCATATTAAAAACACCACAGACATATAAACAACATTAAAAGCTTGATTTTCACCACAGGGGGGCTTTAATAATCTTTTGTCATGCTTTAAAGAAGTACAATTATTTTGATTGTTATGTGGACGAAAGGAGATGAACCCAAAACAGACAGAGTGCAACGAACAGGGGGTTTATTGGAACAAAACAGGAAAACAAAACCCACGAGGGGGCAAAACACGACTAGGACAAGGAATGGATGGCAGACTAGACTAGACTAGACAATGACTGTACAATAAACTGACAACACTACAAATAAACGTTCACAAAGACAAGACTCTACACTAAGTACTCACGGGTAAGAAATGGCAAGGTATAGCAACATAGACAGATTCGACAGCATACGTTAGGCAATGAACCGACACAAGACAGCAAACACAAGGGGATTAAATACCAAGAAACTAACGAGGGGAACAGGTGACGCTGACAAGGCAATCATGACTAAACACGGATAACAAGGGGGCGGGGTTACAAGACGAGACAACACAAGCACATGGCCAAACAATTGGCCATGAGCTTGTACACAAAACATTGGTTCTGTCATGATCCTGCCACAAGACTAAGAATAATCAATAACATGATGGCAGAATCATGACAGAACCCCCACTTTAAGGAGCGGCTACCAGACGCTCCTCAAAGAGACACTAAGCACAGGACAAGACGGAACGAGACATAGACAAAAACCAACAAAACATGGAAAACACTAATAACGGCATACATGAATAAACAATAACAGGGTTGGGATGGAACAATAAAAACATCAAGCAAGGCAGGGGAGGTGGAGGAATAACAGAGTTCATGGGGGGTGGTCCAGGGAGGATGGGTGTGCTGGGGTTCTTAGGTCCATGGGGTAATGGCAAAGAACGAGGAATCCGGGCAGGCTTGGAGGAAGACAAACGAGGATGGGACTTGGGCGAAACAGTCCGGGGTTTAGTGGTGACAAGGGGAACAGTCCGGGGACCAGTGGCGACAGGGGGAACAGTACGGGAACAAATGGCGACAGGGACGAACGGGGAAACAGTCCGGGGATGAGACGTGACAGAGGAGACAGGGGAAACGAACGGATGACCGGAGACAG